AATAAGAGCATCAAACTTTCTGGGTACCCAAATATGGGAGTTATAATTCAGTCCTGCAAGGAGGAGAAAGACAAAAAGTTGCAACAGAGTAGGAGATAAAAACAAACAAACAGAGAAAAGAACCAGAAAGAACTAAAAGTTAAAAGATGCAAGAGCTTAAAAAAAGTTGTATATAATATATAAACAGAATGGCTTTTTCCCGCACTTCCTCCCAATTCTCAAGACAAGAAACCATGAATCAAGTTATGGGTTAAAAGAAAAGGGAAAGAGAACAGGTTTGGTTAGGTCTGTGCGAGTGCCCTTTGGTGGTTATTAGGAAGTCATGCATTGAATAGACTATCACTCACTGCCCGCAGGAGGAGATGCAGCAGCAACAGCAGCAGCAGCAGCAGAAGTGGTGGGAGTGGAATTGACGGAGGAAAGAGCTACATGGGTTGGGCTAGAAACATTTTTTACATCGTGGTGTTGGCTCACGATGGAAGGCTGTCTCCTGAGGGCTCCCTGTAAAGAGGAGGCGCCGGTCTGGAATGTGTAAACTACGTCCATCTGCAAAGAATCAGAGAGTAAGATAGCTTTGTCCCACATTCAAAAGAGGAAAAGGAACTGGGAGAGTTGGAAGGGGAAACCGGGCAGACAAAGGATACAGATACAAACAGTAAGGAACCAAAGTGGAAGGGGAAAGAGGAAAAACCCAAGACATCCCCGTAAACAGTTTCAGCAGTTCATCCAAAACGTAGAGCCCCTCAGCCAAGAGCTCCCAGCCATCTCCTTTCTCTTCCCCAATTATTCCTGTTTGCAGCAGGTGCAGTATTTTAGGGTCCAACTACATGTTATGTGCAAATGCATATAATGAAACTTTGCAGGTCTACATCTTGGTTGCTGTGGAGTGCCGAGATGGGGCAATGTGTAGTGGAGAAATTGCAGGAGGGAAGCCTAACTCCTACTTTTATTCTGGTGTTTATATTCCATCTGTTGGTTTTGTTGTTGTTTTTAAGCCTGGTTACTGTAGCCTGCCCTGGAATTGTTATTATTTACATGGATGGGCAGCGTATAAATTTGTTAGGTAAGTATTAAAAAACCTCTTCCCTGGCCTCCTACTGTCCTGCCTCAATCCATCCCAAAGCGACTTACCCACCTCCTCTCCAGAGCTCCAGATACACATTTTGCAAAGGATAAATGTGCATCTGCAGAGTAACTGAAGTGGCAGGGGAGAGACAAATTTATTAAGCATATTTATATGCACACCACACCACAACTCTGCTACAAATCACTATTCCTAGGTGTTGCCTGAGTTTCATCACATGCATTTGACTATAACAGGTATGGGGCACCTCTGATGAACTACGACTCCCATGACTCTGATCACTGGCCATGTTGGCTGGGGCTGATGGGAGTTGAAGTCCAATAACATCTGCAAGACCACAAGTTTACCACCTCTGGTGTAGTCAAACCACTTTTGATTTTAAACATGTAGGTGAGACGGCAGGTGGTGGGAATCTTATATAAAGGCAGCGGGAAGAAGGAGCATGAAGGCCGAAGTCTGAATGACCCAAAAGTGCAGCCTGCACATTGACATGTGTGGTGGATGTGGTGGTGGTGGGTTCTAAATGTCACCAAGGGACACTAAGGGCCAATAGCAGAAAACTCTAACCAGGAGTGGTGTGTGCCAGCCAGGCTTATTGCCAAGGTCCAGGCCCTGAATCAGAGTGGGTCATTTCGTTTGGCCAACATTAGGAAACAAGTCACATAACAACCAAGCTGGAATTAATTGCAGCAGCAGCTTGTCCATTCATCCCAAAGCAGAAAGGGCACAGCAGCATGCAGAGGTATCACAAGAGCAGAAAGTGTTCTTTGTATCATTCCTGGTTTTGGAAAGGGAAGGGCAGAAAAAGCTGCTGCACTGGTACAACTTCCGGTTGCTCTAAGCACTGGCAAGTCATTCTATCTCAGCTGGAAATGCCTTTTGCTCAGAAGGGAAGGACTGTGGCTATTGCATCCTGGATGCAGACTGTTTCAGTGGTTAATCATGCAAGCAGTAAAAAGAATCCCCACTGTTTTCCCGAAGGAAGACAGATATAGGAGAATCTGCATTACCAGGAGCTTTGGTTTCCAGGTTCAAGGCTTGTTTGCTTAGATCTACATTACATATCACACATTAAAAAAAACCCCACAACCACTCAAGGTGTCTCACATTTGCATAGTGCTGGCTGTAGCAGGCAGCGTTGTCCATTCAGTGAACATGCAAAGCTCCATCAGTGAAACGGCTCTTTCACACACTTGATCTGGTCACTTCTTCCTTATTGGCTTGATGAGGGTTTCTTACAGTTCAGGAAACTTTGCAATACCATAATATGTCTGGTTGTACCTACCATCATCAGCCATGTCTGGAGTACAGAGAGGAGCACTTCTGATACTGAACGGCTCTCCCTCTGAAGACTTTGTTGTGGACCAGCACAGGCAACTAAACACAGACACTTCTCCTCAAGTGATGCGCAACTCTGACCCAGGATGGGTCTTTGCATTCCTTGGAACTCACAGTGAAACATCCTAGGCAGTGAGTGACATGCAACAGTGACCTTGCCCATCTGATACAAGACAGCATCAGAACTTTAAACAACTAGATGCTGCGTCAAACTGTATGCCCACATGCAGCCTTTGGCAAACTCAGTAGGTTCGGTCTTCATTTCATCCTTTGCATGTGACTTGGGTGTGTGGATCAAAACAATATTTTTAAAACAATGCACAGTACAAAGAACCACATTCCAGGTGGTCACAGATCACAATGGTAAAATACATGTAAAATATAACTCATATCTAGGTCTCATGCAGACATTCACCCAAGATCATTTCGCCTCCTTCAAGGGCTTGGTTTCCTATCATGGAGGCAAGCAACTGGACAAATAGCAAATTTCGGTGACTTTTCAAGGCATACAATGAAAAGGAAAGGGCTGAGCATTAACTTAGGACATCCATTCCACAAAGCTCAGTCCTCAACTTGCCCTCTGTCCCTTCCTCCTTTGGCTCTATCTTCCCCATCAATCTCTCCTGCTTACTGGGATACACCATACACTCGATTTGGCTTTTAAATACTAGTGCATCCCCTGGCAGGCAGAAGGAAGAAAACAGTGAAATTAGTGTCGCCTCATCTGTATTTATTAAATATATATCTCACCCTTCCTCCCAAAGGAGCCCAGGGTAGTGATTTATAAAAATTATGCGACACTATATCAGCATCTCTAGTATAATGGTAATAACTATCATGCAACAGTGAGTTGTCACCAGTGGTTAGGAAGGTCCCAGAAATAAACTCTCATCACTGAACTCAGAGTAATGACCAAAAAAATCCCATCTGCCCTATATATTTATAGCAATATCATACCATTAAAATAATAATAATACTGTGTAGGAGGGGTTATTATTTTTGTTTGTTATTGTGGTATGTATTTTGTGTTTTTATATACTGCAACTGTGGTTTGTGAAGGGTGTGAGCATTGTTAGGAGACTCCTATTAGGAGACTCAACAGAGCTACAATATTCAGAGAGGTATTACAGTCAATCCATTATCCTGCGAAACTCTGCGAACTGTAGCTCTCTGAGGGGAATAAGGGTCTTCGAACAACCCTCGGCACCCTTAACGAAACACAGTTCCCATAATTCTTTGGGGAAAGCCACGGCTGTTTAAAGTGGAATGATACTGATTTAAATGAAGGTGGGGTCTAAGACTGGTGATGATTGCTGGTTGCATGAGGTTGCTACATTAGGATAGTGCAAGGCCTTGAGATGACTAATTACCCCAATATGCAAAAACAGCCCAAAAAGTGAGGTCAGAGCCATTTCATTTGAAAGACAGTAGTGGAGCTAACCTTCCTTATATTCTTCTTAAAAGAATATCTTAAAGCAACAATCTAGGCCAGGTTATACAAGCTCAAGAAGATGAATGTTGCTGCTGGTATTTTTTAATAATCAGCCAGTCCTTACACCTTATGAAAGTTGATGTATTGTGGATGCGACCTTTGCTAGACATGAAACTGCAGCTGACTTCTGTTCTGTGAATGCCACTTCCTTGAGAAGAATCCAGAATCTAAGAATGTGCTTGGAGTCACAGTGTCTGCGCAACTATTGTAACCTTGTTTTCGGTGAATAGTTGTCAAAACACATTTTATAACTTATGAAGAAAAGGTTCTGGAACTTGGAAAGCCAATGCAAGTTTTTGCAATATCATGGTCTCTGTGTGTATATATCTGCAAGGAATGGTTAATGTTAACTTCATCTTCATCTGGAATCTTCAGGGGGACCTGCCCCTGAATGAAGTGGCTGAATTTATTTTTACCATCAGAAATATCTGCAGCCTGGTCTGTGTTTGTTCCTCCAGAAGGAGGAAACTCTCTGCTGTGCTGTCAGCCTAAGTCCATGAACGGTGGCGAACACATTCCCCTTGATTTCACAAGGGCTTGATCTTCCCTTTTGTGGAATCCTCCACAAGTAATGGCTTTATCCAAGTTCACTTTTAAGGGCCATGGCAAAAGCGGCAAAGGATTTAGTGTAAATCAACAGCAAGATAGATTGTCCTTTTTCAAATATTTAGTGGGGCTGTAAAGATCTGGAGGCAAATTGTGGGACTCTGAGCAATGACCACATGCATAGCTCAGCAGGACTGCTATTTTTGTTTGCAAAGAATTGCATCACAGAGGCAGGGAGAGAAGGCTGGCATCAAATGCTCCATCTTTTCCTCTGCATGCAGAGACTTGCCTTGGAAGCAAGCACCGATGCTTAGAAAAAGCCCAGGTGAGTGCATCTGCTCAGCTGCATGTACATCAACACCACTAGCTCAGGCCATTGATTCCCAACTCTTCCAACAGTGTGAATGGCACATCCCTTTCCATGGCATGCAGCCCTGCTTTCACTGGGATGGGCTCTGATTATGGCAGGAGAGGACATAGCTATGAGTCGCCAATGGAGGCAGTCAAAAGTCCCTAGCAGGGGAGAAATGAAAACTGTACCTGAGTCTGTATTCTGTTGAGACCCCGGAACCAGAGAATCTGTCCTCGCCGCAGCTCCATTTCAGCATGGTCGATTTCATCTAGACCCTCAGTGAACTCCTCATCATTCATATCCTCCTTGTTAATGCCATGGCCTGCCTCCTTCAGGAACTTCAGCTGATTGGTTGGAATGCTGCTGATCAACTAGAGACATAGAGGACACTCAAGGTTAATTCCTCCCTGGTTTGTCCAATTTTGGGTCTGGTTTGTGACAATCATGCCTCCTTAATTCACTCAGTTCTGTGGCAGCACAGAACTGACCATTCTCTGCTTTAAAGCCTGGGTCTTGAACTCAGACATCTAAGGTCAGGACTGGGAAAACCTGTGGCTCTCTACTTGTTGTTGGACTCCAACTCCCACCAGTCCCAGCTAGAATGGTCAATGGTTAATGAAAGAGGCAGACTTAACAACATCTGGAAAGCCACAGGTTCCCCATCCTTGATCTAAGCTTAAAGACTGCTATGCTTTTGGAGGTGAGTCTTGCCTTCATAAAGCACTTTGGACTATTAACAGCATCACCAAATTTTGCACCCACATAGCTGCAAAGTGTGTATGTGTGTGTACTCAGAGGTATGGTGGGTGCTTAGCCTTCCTTTAACAACATGGCCATATCTTGTTCAGGCTCACCTGTCCCCAAAGCAGCTCTCCAACACCAATGAAAACACACCAGAACCATTGGCTCAAGGTGAGTCCAGAACAGCTGAAGGGCTTCCCACCAAATTCTACAATGATGATCTGTGGCATAAGAGGAAAAAGAGCATAGTCAGATCAGCTTTGGTTAAAAAAAAAAAAAAGAACCATGGAGGTACAGAAAGAATTGTTACCTTCCAAAACAGTACACTTTACATTTTCTTCAGGTAACTCATGGCATGTTACTAGACAAAAACATACAACAACTTGCATGTCACGTTCTAGTTAGCTACATTTGTGCAGGGTGTGCTTTGGACAAAGGACAGAAGGTGGCTCCAAGTCATTTTTCAGACCTACTCAAGGGACCCTCCCTTTCTTGCATCATATAAGAAAAGTGCTTATTCATATCATAAATTCGAAAAAGGAACTTTCGCCAGTGCATTGGTGATACCTCACATGTAAGGTGTAAATACAGTGGTACCTCGGGTTAAGTACTTAATTCGTTCCGGAGGTCTGTACTTAACCTGAAACTGTTCTTAACCTGAAGCACCACTTTAACTAATGGGGCCTCCTGCTGCTGCTGCGCCGCCGGAGCACAATTTCTGTTCTCATCCTGAAGCAAAGTTCTTAACCTGAAGCACTATTTCTGGGTTAGCGGAGTCTGTAACCAGAAGCGTATGTAACCAGAAGCGTATGTAACCCGAGGTACCACTGTACCACGTCTACAGCATGGGGCCATTTCTATGCCCGTTTCTATGAGAGTCATGCTTGAATGCATCAACATAGTTTGTTAAGTACGACAAAAATTAGCCTCATCACTGGTTTGAGTGGCATGTTACCAGAGCGCCATAACATGGACCCACACAATCAGATCCAAGCTTCGATGTGTATTATTGCCCTGATGTGCATAATGAAAGCCAGCAGACTAGCCATGAGAGTTTTCTTCAGTGAGATTCCACTATAAGGCATTGGAAGGGAAGACATCTCTACCGTGTGTCCAGGTATTTCTCAATCGGATTGGTTCAGAGAGGTGAAGGCTGCTGGAGGATGTAGCTGTGGGCTCAAGAGCCACAAAATGTGCCTTGAAGCATCTGCACTGGGGGCCCCAGCCACTTCAGTCCATTTCAGAAATTCATCTAAGTCCGAAAGCAAGAGTTCCTAAGATGTGAGAGGTGTAACTGGGGCATCTGCCTTGGGTGTAGCCAAGCCATGCATTGACATCAGCTGATACATGGTAGAACTTGTTGCAAAAATGATGACGAGATTTTGGCTTAGATGGATTGGCCTATTCCCTGTGAATGATGTCCCACAAGTTTGTGGGAAATGGAACTGCCTGGACTTCCCTTGACTCTAACCCTTAGGCTCCCTGTCCTCCCTGGCATAACTGCACTAAACCTTTGAAGAGGTGCCCTGGGGGAAAGACCTCTGACAACTCAGAGGGACCCCCCTGCTCCCAGTGTTTGGGCTGAAGCAACATTCCTGTTGGCTAGTGCATTCAGGGGGTGAGGACTATGTGGGCTGAACACACTAAAATATAACTGTCTGCTCTGTGGGAATAAAGCAGAGGTATCCTGAGAGAAGCAATTCCTCTCCACTCACGAGGGAGCCAGTCTATCTGACTCTGAATACCAGTTCCTGGGAATCACAAGTAGGGTGAATGCTGCTGCACTCATGGGCTTTCCCATAGGTATCTGATTGGCCACTGTGAGAACATGATGGCCTGAGCTGCCAGGGCTCTTATGTTCTTATGACTGAAAGAGGACTCTTTTTCTCTGCTTTGCCTACTGATGCTGCCTCTTCCTCCACCCCTTGGGTTCTTAGAAAGGTGGAAACCTCCAAGTCTGTCTGGCTGCAGACCTTGCACCTCTGGAGATGACCTGGAGACTGTCTTTCTGGTTCCAGAGAAGAGATCTTTCTCCATGCTAAGCTGTCCTCCTTCCCATGAGTAATAATAATAATAATAATAATAATAATAATAATGATAAATTTTTATTTCTATCCCGCCCTCCCCAGCCAAAGCCGGGCTCAGAGCAGCTAACAACAATAAAAGTAACACAACATTCTAAAATCAATTCATTTAAAAATCAATTCAAAATCAAATTATTGGCAACCATTGGGCTAGAGTTCTGTGAGGATTACAGAAGGAGGGGGTCAGACTGTGCCTTGGCCAAAGGCCTGGTGGAACAGCTCTGTCTTGCAGGCCCTGTGGAAAGATGTCAAGTCCCGCAGGGCCCTAGTCTCTTGTGACAGAGCGTTCCACCAGATCGGGACCACGGCTGAAAAAGCCCTGGCTCTGGTTGAGGCCAGCCTAACCTCCCTGTGGCCCGGGACCTCCAAGATGTTTTTGTTTGAAGACTGTAAGGTCCTCCGTGGGACATACCAGGAGAGGCGGTCCCGTAGGTACGAGGGTCCTAGGCCGTATAGGGCTTTAAAGGTTAAAACCAGCACCTTAAACCTGATCCTGTACTCCACCAGGAGCCAGTGCAGCGGGTATAGCATCAGGTGAATGTGATCCCGCAGCGAGGACCCCATAAGGAGTCTCACCACAGCATTCTGCACCCGCTGGAGTTTCTGGGTCAGTCTCAAGGGCAGCCCCACGTAGAGTGAGTTACAGTAATCAAGTCTGGAGGTGACCATTGCGTGGATCACTCTCGTATCCAATCATCTTATTTCTGTTTTCCCACACACTTGCGAGGTAGGCCTGTCTTGTCAGATCACTAACTCCTCAATATACAATTTATCTTCTGGATGGATTGTCCATACAAGGCCTTATTGTGGTCAGCCTCACAAAGAGACAACAACTTCTGACAGTGTTCCCTTTCATAGTCTTTCATAGTCTCTCTCCTCCACCTCCAGTTTTCTCTCTCCATTTCCTCATGATCCCCTTCCCGCCTGCCTCTTAGCCAATGTAATTTACCTGGGCAATAAAGGTTCCTAGCACCACTGCGCAGAAGATGGGGTTCCGGAAAATGGCCTCAAAGACATTCCGCTCACCGTGGATCTTGCGAGCATTGATCTCATTGAAAAGTTGCATCATGACAAAAGTGTTGAAGACGATGGTGTAGTGTTCAGTGGGTGGGGAGTGGAGGGGGACGTTCCGGCCACTGTCAATATCAAAAAATTTCTCACCTAGCAGAAGAAGAGTTTGAAGAGAAAATGATAAGAATAACAACAATCCTTCCCCTACACACAGACACCAGAGATTATGATGTGATTATACAACACAGTAGAGAACACAATCCCCAAACCAGGGTTAACTGCAAACATATCTTGCGTGCCATTAAGCAACTCGTTCTCTGAACAGCACAGGCTCGTTCTTCCAGCACACAAAGTAGCTTCCTGAGAATTCAAGGATAATGCACAACTTGCAGCAAGGCTCCCTAGGTAGAAATACACAAGCAACAGAAAGACCCAAAATATGAAAATATGCTATACTGTACTGAAGAACCATATACAGAAGGGAATAAACACTGATATACATAAGACAAAAAGCAATATACACACCCAATGGAACACTGTTTTGCCTAATATTAGACTGTTTTAATGGCCAATAAAGGATCTTGTTGATGCATATGAAGAATTTGGATTCATTCCCTAAGACGACGGTTGAAAATATTTCTTCCCAAGGACTCAACATTGCTGGAATATGTCTGAAAAAGACTCATTTGGCAAAGCAGGCTAATAATGGGTGTTCCATCAAGAATGTGTATTGCTTATTGTCTTGTGTGTATCCATTTTCACTTCGTTCTCTATAGGCTTGTTCGGTACATTTTCATATTTGGGGACTTTCTGTTGCTTGTGTATTTCTGTTTTCCTGAGAATTTCACCTTTCATTAAAAAAAAAGTCCAAAATCCTAGCTAGGCTTCTAGCCCTCATGAGCGTGGGACAAATATAGTGTGACATTAGTGTCTCCAGGAAAACAGGGTATCAAGAGATAGGGACTGCCCATCTGCAGAAGCAACCATGTGGAGTGGCACCATTCCGAGAGAGCCTGCTGCAGTTCTGCAAACACCCTGCAGAGAGCTGCTCCCTGCAGTTACAAAGGAAGGGCACAGAGGCAACACAGTAGCTCATTGGCTGTGTATGCCAAGGGACATGCTCTTCAGCCTTCTTAAACTCCACCAGCCAACTGGAATGTAGACAATAATCATGGAACTAAGAAAATCCATCAAACCATAGTTCAAAACAAACTATGGTTCAATGTGCAAGGGCTCACTGCTCAAACCATGAGCATAGGTTTAGATGACATGACAACCCAGACTCTGGCTTGTTTTTTCTGTGGTGCAGCAGGAGCGAGGGAATGAGCGTGGTGGGAATAGTTTCTTTTAAATTATGGTTTAATATGAGGTGCATATCAGGCCAGTGAATCCAGAAAGTGAGATGTCTATTCTTGTCTTGATTCCCTGTCCTTCCACATTACTTGTACTTGCCAAAGTCTGCATTCTGCGAAGTCTCAGATATTGGCAACCGGATGATACAAACCAGACCCATGCACACAAAAAGGACGGTGGAATTTGCATTAATGTCTTCTCAGGGCAGAGTGAGGGTTGTATTTGGAATGAGGATTGTCAGTCCTAGATAAGGAGCTGCTGGAAAATTAGACAGCTCCCTTTATGAGACTGGAGCCAAAAGAAGTCCAATTAACTTGTACTTGAACCTGTCCAAATTTAAATACATCACTTGAAGGAAAAACCAATGTAAAACAGCTTTTAAAAGGCAAAAGAAAAGCTAAATTGTGTTGATGAAAGGCATAATTTCCTAGATTAAAGCTCTTCCCTTGGCCAAGGATTAAATGTATTGGTCATATAGTCTCCATAGAGACTGTCTTTTCCTGACAGACTGTGTCAAAGCTGCACAAGAGCCAGACATGCAGTGGTCTTCATTATGACTTTTGCATGGAATTTCTGCCTCTGAACCCTGCAAGATCATACATAGAAGTTGTTCCTGGCACTGGCGTACAAAGGGGGGCAGGGGGAACACACCACACCGGGTACCATTTGGGGGAAAGGGTGCCATCCCGGCCACCCCCCGGGAGGCATGCCACACCATCTCAAGATATGCACTATGCCCTCGTGGGCAACGCACCATGCCCCCGCCTGTTCTCCACTCCGGGGGCTGCAGCATGTTGCTCCACCACTGGCTCCTGGCAGTCTACATCATAGATGGGAGAGTAGCCAGCTATCAGAATCAGCTGCATGAACAGTTTCATTTTATTGAAAGAGAAGCCTTGTTTGAAAACTTTCCTGTATGCTAAGCCACTCAATCAACGGCTACCATAGAATTATTATAAATGATTACTGCCAGCTAAATTGAAGGCCCACAATTTTTTTTGTGGAGGGAAGGAAAGTATGGCAAGGTAGATATAGGGAAAGGAGAACCTAGATTTCCAAGACCCAACCTAATGGTTTCATGTCTTGCTAAAGGCTGCAAGTTCCATCTCTGACTCTCACCAGCAAAGAGCAGTGTGAAAATAATGGTGAGCTGGTACACAGCATGCCCCAGGATGTTCTTCATCATGGTGCGGGAAATGAGTGGCTTGTTGCGGCCATATGGCTTGCGCAAGAGCAAGGATTCGGTTGGGGGTTCTGTGGCAAGGGCTAACGAAGCAAAGGTATCCATGATCAAGTTGACCCACAACATCTGGACGGCCTTCAGTGGAGAGTCCTGCAAAGGGAGAAGCATCCATCAGAAAGGAGTGCATTTCATTTCTGGTCCAGGACTATGCCTCCCCACTCCCCCCAGCTGCTCACCTGGAGCTGACATGCAACAAGTTCAAACTCTTAACCCACTAGTATAATCATCCAGGGATGGTCAAGTTGGAAGCCCAAGAATACTAATGCTACAACTATAGTGTTAAACTACTAAATATTTAGTGCAGACTGGGGGGTTAGCTTAGAGCAGTGTTCCCCAACCTTGGGCCTCCAGCTGTTTTTGGACTACAATTCCCATCATCCTTGACCACTGGTCTTGCTAGCAAGGGATGATGGGAGTTGAAGTCCAAAAACAGCTGGAGGCCCAAGGTTGGGGAACACTGGCTTAGAGAGCACATGTATCTTGCAGGGGGTTGGACTCGATGACCCTTGTGGTCCCTTCCAACTCTACAATTCTATGATCTATAATCTTCTCCCAAATAACTTTTGTGCAGCCTTAAGGCTCCAACTCCTAACTATTTTCAGAACACCAACTTGCATTTAATTAGTAAAAAATAATATCTATGCAGTCTTTATTGTTGCAGAGATGTTTCAGTAGGCAATGATAGCAAATTTTCCAAGTGCTTCCATGCTGCAATAATCTCTACAAATGTATGGAGCTGAGGATGGCAACCTTTTGGTCCTCCAGGACTCCAACTGCCATTAGTCCCAGGCAGCATGGCCAATGTTCAGGGATGATGGGAGTTGTAGTCCAGCAACATCTGTAGGCTGCAGTTTCTCCATCCCTTGGTACTGAGGACAGGTCATTGCTAGCTATGAGCTGCAATAGCCATCTAGATCTTCCGTTTTATGGGTCATTATACCTCTGATTACCAGAAGCTGATGACAAACAAGGGATTGCTCCCTTCATCAGCTTTGAGACCTGCCAGGAGCATCCAGTTGGCCACTGCTGGAAATGCTAGATGGATCTTTGGGCTGGATCCAACAAGGAAATGGCTACCTTTGAAATCCAACCCAACCATCTCTGTAACACAGGTCTTTACACGCTGCCCTGCATCAAGACCAGACATTGTGAAATTCAAAGCTCCAAAACAAAAGAGGCCCGGCAGAGCTAGGAATGGCATTCAGAATGGCTAGTTCCAAGACACCTCAATTGTTCCAAACATTAAGCTATAGATAAAACCCCGCCCCGTTTGACTGATGTTACCTGCGTGATACAAGCGCCCGTGAAAGCCACAATCACAGCCACCACGTTGACCGTAAGTTGGAACTGCAGAAATTTGGAGATGCTGTCATACACGTTGCGGCCCCACATCACCGCCTTGACTATGCTTGTAAAGTTGTCATCTGTCAGGATGATATCCGAGGCCTCTTTAGCCACATCTGTGCCAGCAATGCCCTGAGGGAGAAAAAATGAGGAGGAGGAGATCAAGCTGGCAAGAGGTCGTCGTTCTCCTGCTACGACTGGTTCTCCACAGAGATAGGCTTGCGCTCAAAATGGCAGGCACCTTCCAGTTTCAGATGAGGACCACGAGATTGCAGGAGAAATTAGATGGCTAATCCCATAATCCCCCCCCCCAAATGGATGAGTTAACTGATTGGTGTATAGGAAATACAAGGCCCTTTGAGACATAAAATACTCCCTCTCTTTCTGAAGTTCAGAGTTGAGTGTCAGCTCTTATGTATAAAAAATGGGACCATCCATGCAGAAGAGGAAGGCCTCAGAGAACCTCACAATTTGCAGGGTGTGTGTGTGTGTGTGTGTGTGTGTGTGTGTGTACACACACACACACATATTTAACACCTGCTAAGTTTAAGGGCGGGAAGGCTTGAAACAGCCCATTGAGGACTGAGCAACGGGGATATAATTCTATTACAGGCAGGGAAGCACACAAAACTGGGTGGCAGGGGGAAATGGTGGATCATAGAGGAGGGTATGGAACATGGCAACATTTTGCTGCAGATTCCACTGGTGATTTTGATTGTCCCCCTTTGCAACACCAAAAGTGTGGTAGAAACCTAGGCAGTAACTCTCTGCTCAGACTCCTCCTGCACCTCAGTGAAGAACCATGGCAGCAGATCAAGAAGGCAATTAGGCTTATTGCAAAACTCCATTACAGACACACGGTGGCAGTCAGTTACTACAGAATCTGCCGCTGCCAGAACAATCCCAGCAAGCTTCAGAAGTATTAAGCAGGTATCCTGTGGTGACCAATTTTTCCTAATGCTTGCCTGCTGTTTCCTACTGAGCCCAGGGATTGTGAGATTCTGTCCTGAGCTGTAACATTCCTGACTTCTGCAAAGTGCAAAAACTGAAACAGAAAATAGAGCAGAATAAAAACAGAGCTTTAACACACACACGGCTTATCAGCTCCATTATGCCAAGGCACCCACAAGCAAATCACTAACCCCACATGCTGCTGCATTTGGTTTCCAACACACCAATTAGTCCATACCATAGCAAATCCCACGTCTGCTTTCTTCAAGGCTGGGCCGTCATTGGTGCCATCCCCAGTCACAGCCACCACCTGCCTCCGTTCTCCAACGGTACTGTCAATAATTCCTGAAAGATGGTAGGAACATCAGTAGAGGGCAGGCACAGAGAGACACAAACTGGCAGCAGAGCATCCAGCGGCAACACAACGGGTCATTTTCCAAAAGCAATTCAGGTTGTGGTGGTTACAGCTTAGGGCCAATGATACCAAAAGGGCAGCCTCTTACCATATGAGGCTATCCACCAAAGATCACCGGGGAGACCCTTTCACACATGCCACTAAGTATAGTTGGCAAGGATATATTTTCTTTTGGGGCACCTAGACTGTGGAACTCTCTGCCTCCAGAAGCTTTGTGTGGCTTCCCCTTTGCCAATGTTTCACTGTCAGCTGAAGACTTTACTGTTTCGGCAAGCGTTCAGTCTGCCTGCTGATGAAGAAAAAGGGGTTTTCTAAGCTCAGTTGGTTAGAGCAGAGCTTTCCAAACTCTGTGCCGCGACACGTTAGTGTGTCGGCTGCAGTGTGTAGATGTGTTGTGTGAACGCTCCCCGCACTCCTGGAAAGGGGTTAGTTTAACCTCTGACTTGCTAGTAAAACGGAATTCCCTTGTCGCAAAATGATGCATGCCTAAAAAGTGTGTCATGAGAAGTTTGGAAAAGTCTGGGTTAGAGCATTGTGTTGATAACGCCAAGGTTGCAGGTTTGAGCCCTGTATGGGACAGCTGCATATTGCAGGGGGTTGGACTAGGCTATTTTCAGGGTCCCTTCCAACTCTACAATTCCACGATTCTATTTTTCTTGTTGTTGTTTAGTCATTTAGTCGTGTCTGACTCTTCGTGACCCCATGGACCAGAGCATGCCAGGCACTCCTGTCTTCCACTGCCTCCCGCAGTTTGGTCAAACTCATGCTGGTAGCTTTGAGAACACTGTCCAACCATCTCATCCTCTGTCGTCCCCTTCTCCTTGTGCCCTCCATCTTTCCCAACATCAGGGTCATTTCTGGGGAGTCTTCTCTTCTCATGAGGTGGCCAAAGTATTGGAGCCTTAGCTTCAGGATCTGTCCTTCCAGTGAGCACTATTTTTCTTAATTATTGTTTTTTAATTGTTATTTAACTAGTTTTGGTTGTGAAAGTTGCCTTGAGTATTTCTTTCCAGCACTGGAATGGCAGGATATAATTTTCCAAGCAAAGGTCTGTTTCACACATGCAGGTTAAAGGCAAATGCACAGAATGCTGCTATAGGGAGCTGCAAATTCTGGGCTCTGCCCCCTCTATTCTCTCCCCCCTCCCACTTTCTGGAGGACATTTTTTGGGAGGGAAAGTTCTGTCACCTCAGAAGTTCTTACCTTTCACAAGCGTGTGTTTATCTGTGGGTGAAGATCGTGCCAGGACCCGTAGCTTGGGCCAAATCTTATCCAGTTGCTCTTGTTCCACCTGCAAGACAAAATCGCAAACTCACCAATTGGCCTGGAACAGGAGCTTGAGAACTGCTTTCCTCTTTCCTCCTACCTGGAAGTTCTGAGAACTCACAAGTGACACCTGCTTATCTAAACTAATCTAAACTAATATAATTTCACAATCCAAGGTGTTGCATCAGCCATTCATGTGGGTAAAAACCCATTCTGTCCATGCTAACATGGATCTCATATAAAGCATGAGAAGGTTGAGGCTGGATGGCCACCTATCACGGATGCTTCAGTTGAGATTCTTGAATTGCAGGGAGTTGCACTAGATAACCCCCAAAGCCCTTTCTAACTCTACAATTCTCTGATTCTATCCTGAGCAAAACCAGTCAGCTTTCTGTATTTATAAGTGGCTGGAGTCAGCTCAGATGCAAAGCAGGAGGCCATAGAAAATACCTGTAGTATTAAAAACAAGCATGGGCAGAGAAAAGCCCTCTCTATAGCTGCATTCTAGCCTTGCCAAGCCTGCACTTCAGAGCTAAGAGTTTCTTTCTCAGGAGCTTGAAAAAGCTCATTATTCCCCAGAGATCACAGAATGAATGCGTTACACAGAATGAGGCACGTTTCAGAAGCTGTCAAGAGGGGAGTGGTCCTCTAAATAAACTGACCGGGTCCCTGAGTGGCTTCTCCCCACCTGTTCCCTCAATCCCTTATTCCTCTCACCTCTCCTTTCTCGTTGCGGATCAGCCGGTTGAATTCCTTCCCTTCCAAGCACAGGAAGTCCTCCCCAGGTAGCAAGATGCCACACTTGGTTGCAATGGCACGGGCTGTGTTGATGTTGTCACCTGTAACCATCCGGACAGTAATACCAGCGCGCTGGCACTTCAGGATTGCATCAGGCACCTGTAGGAAAGCCATGAGATAACAGAGTCAGGAAGCTGAGCCGTGCATGCATGAGGCAGCGGGAAATCATGGATAAAGCCTGAAGAGGGAGCGGGGAGGGTGGGGAACAACAACTATAAACTAACAGGAAACTCATTACCTGAGTCTAGATCCTGATGTAGTCAAAATGATACATCTGTGCTCAGGAGGGAATCAGCAGGCTCAGGGGGGGAAACCCAGGTTTGCAGAAGTAGAAAAAAATACTTAGGAAGAAACCTTAACTGTGGAAGCCCTACCACCTCAACAACACAGTAATTGTTTTAAGCAGGCTCAGTGGCCACAGAATGCAGTCAGTGAGGGGGAATGGAAAACCAGGGGAGGGAGGGAGGAGATTGGAATGGAGTATCCTGAAAGACGGGCTAGTGGGTTGGCTGGAACGCTGAACAGGAACACTTCACTCTGCAACATTTTGTTCCAAGTTTCACTTGTGTTTTTATGTCCATACATTCCAGACAACACTGCAATGCAACTTCTCCAAACGTAGGTCATTAAAAAAAAAAGCAACAAATATTTGTTTAAAGATGTATCCTGTTCAAGTTATTTCCACTGGACTTTCAACACAGTAACAACAAAAGTTACGGAGTTATCTTCAGATTTTGTCTCTAAAGAGTAGCTCATTTCGGCTACTTTTGGCTGTAGTCTTGAGGAACCTGCTCCCTGCCTCCTCCAACTGGCCTAGGAGGGCAGGGCGTTTGAATGGAACCTTGGGTTGGGGTATTGCTTAGTGGGGCTTGTTGTTATTACCACCCCAATTATTTAAAATTGTTTTAACTTTATTTATTTTAACACTTTAAAATGGATTTAACCTTAAATGATCTGATTATGGACAATGAGGCTTCCAATTAGTTTCCGGACCCAATTCAAAGTGCTGGTTTTGACATATAAGCTCTAAACAGCACAGGGCCGCAATGCCTCAAGGACCACCTCTCTCCATAGGAACCAATCTGGACCCTGCGATCATCATCCGAGGCCCTTTTGTGTGTGACTAAAAATAAGAGATTGCCTTCCACTTAGTCAAAAATAAAAGGAACTAAGAGGAAATTGCCATGAACTGCAAGTTGAAAGTGCTCTGATAAAGGGTTGTCTTCGTACATGACAGATCCCCTACTGCTGGAACTGTACAAAACCTAAACGTAAGCTGTCATTTATTTGTTACTTGATTAAATTTAGATCACAACCTTCCTCCCAAAGGAGCCCAGGGTGGTCCATGCATGCTGACCTTTCTCACACACAAACATGCATTTCACTGTATGTAGGTACAAATCTGTGTGCTGAGAGTTGGAGCCAATTGTGGCTTCTCAGAAAATGCACGGTTCGTAGCCAGGCAACAAGTTTTTTCCTGAGCATTTTCTGGAATAGGCACCATTTCTTGCCTCTGGGGAGACATAAACTTGTTGTGCCCCACCCCCCAAATGACGCAGCATCGCTTGGGAACCTCTGGCGCCATGATGTGGGGTTTTTTTTTTACCACTCGCCCGCTATGGGACAGCAAAGTAGTGGCAGGCCAGCCTCCTGCCTTGCCCTGCAACACTGATTTCATTGCTGTATCCCTGCTCTAATAGGCTTTATCTTGTACCGAGCAAGCCTGAGCAGGGAGGGAGGGAGGGAGACATTACTAAGGCACCAGCAAATTGAATCACCGCCTCCAGAGCTACTGCACGCAGGGCATCTGCAAAGCCATTTCCAACCCCAGATAATTCAACATCTAATTAAGGAAAGACGCGTGCAGGGGGCCAGCACTGAAATGTAATCAAGAGGTAGGCCTGGGATGGTTGATTCTGTTAGGTCAGTTGTCTGCTTGTCACCACCATAGTAAGCTGTGAGAGAAAACAGTGTGTGGGAGGTGGGGAGAAGCAGGCCGAGGAGGCGGATGCTGGATGCTCAAAAGCGTGTCCCTTCCCTCAGCAGCCTTCATTCCCTGTCAGAATCCCTGCAGTTGCTTCTGTGTGGAATTTGTAAATTAAAACTGCCTCATTCAGGATGAGGCAGGGTTCCTGGGCCCTTCTGTAATTGCTTGGAAGACAGAATTAAGATATTTGCCACACCTCCCGCAGCACCGTGACTGGAAAAGAAGGGTGTGCCAAAATTCCCTCTTTCAGGCAATTCCTAACACGGCTGTCAACTTCTGCAACAACTGCACAGTAGGGTAGCATTCAACAGGTGCAGCTTTCCCCCCATTAACGTGACTCTGTGGAGGACAAAGCTGTACCTCATGACTTTCTCATTGTTCTGTAGCTGCCAGAATCTCACAGGGGCCTTTTCTTCACACTACCAGCCTTATTGAAAACACAGCATCCCAGCGGCTTCTGGGCTGTATCCAGAATTCTCTGTGTACTGGCAGAGGATGGGCAAGTTTTGATGTTGAGCAAAAGAGGAATACAGCTGTGCTAGCAGAAATGCGCTGCATAATGAAGTATGCAATCTATTGTTCCACAAAGTTACGAGTAAACTGGTTATCCAGCCTCTTGCACAACAACATTCGGCTGGTGCAAAATACTTCGCCATTGGAAAATGCATGCTACTAAGTGAGTTTAATTTAGCGCTACATTGGATTCAACCCACTGACTGTAAATGGGAAATACAGTTATCTTCAAACTCTGGCAGAGAGTGAGGCAGGACCGTGATGGCAGCAGTCAGAAAGTTTATGGGACTAAGGCATTTAAAAGCAGATGAGCAGGAGCAGATAAATAAGAAGCCAGGTCTGAAGTTCAGTAAATCAGATGGACCCATAAGAAAGCAGTGCACAGGAGTCAAGAAAAAGCAGAGCCTTGGCAAAGATAGGAAGTGACAGTAGGAAAGAAGAGGGGGCGGAAAGGGCAAAGGAGTCCAATATACTGAAAGTCTGAATTGGTGATTAAAGTAACAGTGACAAATGAGGAGAAGTGGCAAGGTGGATGTTAGAGAAGAGGCCCAGTGTAAAAGTCACTGGTTTGCACAAGACCCATTCAAGGGAACAAGCATCAGGAGAGGAGACAAAGATGGGTCTGAAGGAAATGAATCTTGAAAACAGCTGAGACCAAATGAGAGTCAACATGACGAAATAATATGATTCAGGGGAAAGAAGTGATTTGTCTCCTCCTTGCACTAGGCAAAAATCAAGGAGAGCCATGCTGGTACCTCCGGCCGAACAGGGTCCTCAATGCCAACCACAGTGATGCAGGTAAGGTCAGACAGGATCTCATTTTCCGTATCCCAGTCAGGCTCAACTCCAGCAGGGAAATCCCGATAGGCCAGGCAAATGGTACGCAGCCCCTGACAAGCCATTGGCTCAATCACTTTCTTCACCATCTCATCCCGGTCCTTCACCTTAAATATTCTGGATTCCCCATTCTTGTCCAAGATCTTTGTGCATCTGAATCAAAGGTAGGGTGGGGAGAAACAGAAGGAATAATAAGCATGTGTTCCAAAAGCTGTATTCATGCAAGCAAAGGCAAAGAGCTTTAGGTACGTGGTCCAAAGGGATTGTGCCTTAGTGAGGCATGGATTACACACTATTTTACATACAGGAGTACATTATCTACTTTCTCCTTCCCAGAATAACAATGAGAAGGGTTGTGCTGCCCTCTTTAATGGAAAGTATGTACTGCTGCCCATTCCTAACTTGAGCCTTAACCTAGCTTTAACTTACAAGACTGTCCACAGATTAAGGGCCTGTTGAACTTCAGCAACTATATTAATGGGACAGAGATACCAAATTTTGGTGCATATTTTGTTTGCGTAATAAGACACTTTCGTAGCCACCTGGAACAGACCAAGAGGTCTACATCCATTTGCTGTAGAGGTTGGGGGGAAAGACAGCTCTATTATTTTTATTATTTTATCTATTTATTAAATTTATATCCCCACCCATCCTCCCAAAGAAGCCTAGGGTGGCAAACAACAAGCGATAAAACAATAAATAAAACAATCCTAGTACAGATGTAGACAGGAAAGAAATTGAGAGGTGCCTCATGTCTAGAGCAGAGCTGAGTCTTTCTCTTGGAGAATGCCCCCCCCACCAGTGGACTGGACCATTGACTGGACAAGTTGGGATAAATAGAAGGGAATTGAGTAGGTCATTTTTAGGCATGCTTTGGGGACCTACAGAGTTTCCAGCACCCAGTGGCATAGCGTGGGGGGTGCAGGGGGGGCCGGCCGCACCGGGTGCAACATCTGGGGTTAGGGCAAATCCACAGGTTAAGGGGCGCAAATCCACGGGTTAGGGGGCGTATATCCACGGGTTAGGGGGCGCAAATTACTTGCCTTGCCCCGGGTGCTGACAACCCACGCTACGCCACTGCCAGCACCTCATCCACGGCCACAGGACAATGTGGTGTAGTGTGCGTTGGACCAGGACCTGGGAGATCAGGATTCGAATCCCCACTCAGTCACTGGATGAACTTGGGCCAGCCATTGTCTCTTAGCCTACCTCACAGGGTTGTTGTGAGGGAAAATGAGGAAGGGGAAACTGTGTATGCTGCTATCTTGAGCTCCTTGGAGGAAAAGGTGGGATAGGAATCTAATAAATAAATAGAATAGAACACAGGCCTCATTCTGCCCCTACATGCATGACTATCCTCTTTTTGAACACAGTGAATTTTACAGGCTATGAATGGGCAGCAGGTATGATCTTCAACAGTAAAAACATGGAAAGGAAATACCATTTTGTGGGCACAAAAGGAGGGAGTGACGAACTGTTGGAAAGCAGCTTCTTTCATAACTAGCATGCATCACTGAATATTCCTTAACCCATGAAACTACTTGTGTCGTTAGTATCTTGCCACTTCAAAAACCCAGAGGAAATTCAATGGTTAAGGACTCCACTTATGGCATACCGCTAGGCCGACATAAGCAGCAAAAAGGAAGAGACTATGAAATTATGCAATTGGGTTGGAATAAATTACTTTCATGGTTCCTCCCAACTCTACAGTTCTATGACTCCTTGCAGTGGCATGAGCAAGTAAGAGAGAACCTCTGTTACAAAAACCACGGAAATATTAAAAAATAAGGCACCTATAAACTGTGTTGAAATCCAAGTAATTAATGTGTAGCGTGGAACCACAGAGAAGATATCTCCTACTTCAAAACCCATGAGTTCGTTTGATCCTAAGTCAACCTTAATCCTGATGTTTCTTTGATGAAAATGGATACAGATATACGTGTTCTTTTTATTATTCCAGACTGCAGCAATGAATTAACCATTATGAAAGCGATGCTCAGTTCTGCTTTATCCTTACCAGTGTTTGTGACATTGGCCAACGTTTAACACAGAGTAGTAAAGATGGGTGAAATCTGCCCATCTCAGTTTGGACTGGGCTGGGTTTTTCCAAGCTTTTTCAGCAAAAGAGAATTCTTGGAAAACAGTAGACCATCCCTACAATTCTGTGAAGCTCAGCAAGACCTAGCGTCTGGGAGAACTTCCATCATCGCCAACTTTCTTTCATCCTCCCCCTTTCTCGTTTGTTAAGATGGGCTGAACGTAAGGAGGGAAAACAGCAGCCTAGATAGTTGACTCAAGCTTTTCTTCAAAGCTCAAACCAGACATGATGTCGCTCAAGCAATTATCAGTTCTGTTAATGTGTGAGTGTTGCTTTTTTTTAATCAAGTAAGTAGCAGGTGTAGGGGGGCTAATCTGAATCAGGATGCTGGTGTATGTAATGGCTTTAACCCTGGGGCCCCACTGCAGTCCTAATCTGAACCGAGACCTCCTACAGTTTCCAATGCAAAGAGGCCCCAGCTCCAATCTGGGACTGTAGTGGAGGAGAGGAGGGTTACCTTCTGAACTCTAATCTGGATTGGGTTCCCTGCTCTTGCTGTTTACTTTTAAAAAACCCATTCCTGTAACTGCTAATTGTGGGAATGAAATCATGCCCAATTAGGCTTTTAAATGTCCAGCTTTCTGCAATAAAGCCTTCTGAGTCTGCCTAGATATTCCACTGCCAGTGGGAACTCTGGGAACAGTGGTAAAGGAGGGAAATGGAAAACAACAACAAGAAGAATCCAGTAGAAGCTTAAAGGCTAACAAATCGATTACAGCACAAGCTTTCCTGGATGACAGACTCTTTGCTGTTTCTTTGCACCCACAAAGTAACAGTTACCCTTCTGGAATATGGCAGAAAGAATCACCAGAGACCCCAACAGAGCCATTAGGAGAGAAGTTAGTTACTTGCGCAGGAGGATCTCAGAGGCTCCTTTGCTGTACATGCGGAAGCTCCCATCTGGGTTCTTCAGCACCGTGCTCATGGATTTGCGGACCGAGTTGAAGGTGTACACCTTGTAGAGTTTTTCCTCTGGCACCTCATTGCGGACGGCTTGATAATCCTGCTTCAGGTCCAGCACAAAGCCCAGAAGCGCACATTCCGTCTTATTTCCAACTTGACGTGGGAGGCCCCCTTCTTTCTCTGGTGGCTAGATTTCCCAAAACGAGTGTCAGGTGATAAACTAATGGCAAATCACATCTAAACAGCCATGGCCACTTGCACCCTATCTGAATCGGGTGATTGGTAAGCACAGAACAGGAAGGGAAAGCCAGTGAGGCTTAGTGGGTACAGCACTGGACTTGGACCAGGGAGCTGTGGGTTCAAATCCCTACTCAGTCATGAAGCTCCCTGGCTGAACCTGATCTCGTTGCTGTCCTTGAGCCCAACCACCTCAGAGGGAGAATAAAATTGCAATGTGGGGATTGGGGGAGAGGATTAAACCAAATATATGCAGCTATCATATGAAGAACCCTTTTGGATCAGAATTCCCCCCTTTCCAGCCCGGCTGTGATCCTGGTAATTATCAGCCCCTTTAGCTCATGCTATTTGCATTAAACAAAAAACCAAAAAACCATGCATGCTAATGCAAAGAGGAGTTTAACTTTCTGTCTGGTTTGGCCCTTACTCCGAGCTCCTTGGAGCAAAGAGGCAACAATATGCAATGAAAAACATTTGGATTTGTCCATGGTGGGTTCCTGTCACTAGAAGAGAATTTCAGAGGTAAAAATGACGAAAATCCAAAGTGAGTTAGCTAGATGGCTGTTATTTTTATCTTTCAGAAGTCAAAGCCTTAATCTCTTTAGGCTTCAGTTTCTATCTGTGAGAAAGGGATATTAGCAGAATTTCCTTACCTGTCAGATTTGTGAAGCAGAGACCTCTTCTGATCTCAGACTGACTGGTGGGTATTCAGATTTCTCCTTGTCAGTCCCAGATCAGAGGAGCCAACTGCACGGCACTTCCCTACCTCACTGGAGAGTTTGGAAGGTTTATGTATATTAGACATTTCAAAAAGAGCTTCATATGCTATTTTTTTCCAGACACGAAGATTACTTTCATGTTTGAGAAAAAAGTGCATTTTGTTAACACATGAAAGGCACGGTGTGTTTTTCTGCTGCAAGCAGCCAATACATGTAACAGGGATCCAAGTCTGAGAACAGAGATCCCAGCAGACGTTGCTTTTCCCTACACAGAGATTAATCCTGTTGGAAGTGAGACCGACCGACCGTAAGTTAGTGACAAATGTCCTGCTCTCCTCCCTACAAACCTACTGAGGCTCTTCTGTTCCTTGGTAAATATGCTGCAGATCAGTGTGACAGCTGATAGTGTTGGTTCACAGATTCACCCAGGTAAAAGAACATTGATAGGGAGAGCATTTGCAGCAGAGGCTGTTGCATCCCTCCATCAAATTAAAAAGCAGGCACAGTCCACTGTGAGCTTGATGCAGCTTGTTCAAGCTCCTCCTCCTCTGTCCATCTGCCACTCAAAAAGCAAAGAACACACTTTGGGGTCAGGGATGGGGCAGCAGGTGACAGAGGGCTCCCTCAAAGATGAGAGAGCCCTGCCTGCCTCACTCCTTTCCCTGCCTGTTTATAACGTGAATATGTTTATTTTATTTAGGAAGATTAATAAAACAGCTCTCTAAGCTCTCTTGTAAGATGATGCCAGCATGGTGAAGCTCACAGCATCTTTTCCCACTGTGGATCAGAGGGATTGCAGTTCAACCTCTGGGATCTTCAGGAGAAAATGGCACTGGTAGCATCATTACACAGAAAGCACCTTCACTTTTCAGACACCAAAGGAAGGAGAAGAAGCTCAGTTAGGCTCTCCTTTGAGGGAGCTGCTTTCTCCATCTGTGGCCCCATCCTGGTTCCCAAAAGAGATCCCCCTCACCTCAGAAACAGGGCTGTAGGAAGCAGAAGGAACTGGGCATTTTCAAGCATTCTTGTGAACACTAAAGATATTCTTGAAGAGAACAGATTTAATTGTGGGACAAGCACAAGGATGCTTGTCCATCTTTTGGTTCTGTGGTGGAAGGAGAGAGCATGTGTGCATCGCTGCATGCGTGTTGCACACAGGCACAAATGGAAAGGAAAAGATAACACCAATGAAGTCCACAAGCGCCTGGGCTTGTGCATGGAGTGCCTGGTGCACACTATGACTATGCTTTATACACGTGGGGAAGAAGTGTGTGTGCACCAATCCTTCCACCACAGAATGGCAATTTTCAGGTGGATGAATGGTCCTACTAAACTCCTCTCCTTAGTGAACTAGATGAAGGGTGGCAATGCTAGCTCCTTCACAAAGCCAGGACTTACCAAGATTTTAGAGGTGTAAGCAGAATTTATTGCAACGCCGTTGATGATGAGGTCCAGAGCCTTGGGCAGGATGGCTTCTGGGTCAGGGATCTGTCTGTAGTGGGTGTCCCCCACATAAGCTTGGACCACAGTCATACGGTTCATGGTGAGAGTACCTGTCTTGTCTGAGCAGATAGCAGTGGCGTTGCCCATTGTCTCGCAAGCATCCAAGTGCCTAACCAGATTGTTATCTTTCATCATTTTCTGTGCAAGGGAAACACAGGAATCACAAAGAAGGGTTACGGAGACTAAATGGCAAAGAGGCAGACTGGCCATTGGACTAATGCAAGATGCTGTCCTCTTTCTGCATGGCCTGCAAAATGGAGCTGTTCCGACAGGCCTTTGGTTGGGGCCCAATCTGACCCCCTCTCTTTTTTTGTTATAATACCCAGTATGTAAGTGGCCTCCCTAACCCTTTCCACCAGCTCATATAAGACCAGCACAAACAGTTGGGCCTGGTGAGCACTCAATGCTCTCATCCCCTATAGTTATAATCCATGGGTTGCCATCTGATTTTATTCTGCTCCAAATTTTATTTTAAGCTGTATTTTAATCAATTGTGTGATTTATGTTTTTAATGTATCATACTTTGATGTTAGCCTCCCTGAGCCCGGTCCTGGCCAGGGAGGGCGGTGTATAAAGGAAATTTATTATTATTATTATTATTATTATTATAGCATGAAAGAAATCAAAGTAGGGGAGAGGAAACAAATCTTGCAAATCTGCCTCTTTGGGAAATAGTTGTAACTAAACAACCTCGCAGTGATGTGCCGAACAATATTATTCTTAAATGCCACAATAGAGTAAAAATGAGAGAGAGATGAACAGACCTCACATCTATCTTAGTTTCTATCTAAGCATTTGGTGTAAGAAGTGGAGGCCGGCTCAAGTTGAGTACTGTATTTTTCGCTCCATAAGGCGCACCTGACCATAAGGCACACCTACTTTTTTTGGGGGGGGGATTCAAGAAAAAAAAATTATTTAAAGGGAGCGCTGAGCAGAGCCTGTATGCATCCCAGGCTCTGCTCAGTGCTCCTTTTCATGAGCCGCGAAGAGCGTGTGTGTGGCACTTTAAGGCTTTTCCCTGAGGAGCCACACACACACTCCGCGCACCTCTTTAAAGGGAGTGCGGCTCTTGGGGGCTTTTGCAGGTGGTGGGGGAAGGGAGAGAGCCTTGCTGCACGCTCTTTAAAGGGATAGCCATGCAAAGCCTCCCCAAGGCTTGTGGGGCTGGCGGGGGAATCCCGGCTCCCCCCCCCAGCCCCAGGGACCACACATTCGCTCCATAAGACACACAGACATTTCCCCTTAGATTTTAAGAGGAAAAAAGTGCGTCTTATGTAGCGAAAAATACGGTAAATGTGCTTATTTTAACACTGTAAAACTCCAACTCCAAGTGCTTCTAGCCACTCCTTTCATGCACTCCAAAGAAAAAGGCACCTTACTCTCCACTTCCTTGCACAATAAATCTGTTGTGGCAAATCCAAATCTAGCCTTTCCCCCTAAAACTGAAGAAAGCAAACCAACCTCCAGATCCAGCCCCGCCCTGTCTCTCCCAACCTGGCAGCCAATATCAGGTCCAAAATCTCTTCTGGCTTCCAGCCTCTCACCTTCACAGAGTAGGCCAAAGAGATGGTTACAGCCAGAGGCAAGCCTTCAGGCACAGCTACCACAAGCACCGTGACACCAATGATGAAGAACTTGACGAAATACTGGATGTAGATGGGAGTGCAGTCAGCCAGCCATTGCCTTCCTTGAATCCCGAAGGTGTCAATCACAAAATACAGCACCAGGATAATGACTGTGATGGCTGACATAATCAGACCTGAGGAGGAGGAACAGGGACAGAAAGAGAAGGCAGGTGAGGGCAGACCACCAGAAGATCAGAGGGCTGGCTGGACCACAGTGATAATTTTATAGTTGCCAACCTGGACTGAGGGGTACTAATCAAAGCTTACTGATTTCAGGTCTCACAATGGAGAGAACTGCAATGCACCAGTTAACTTGCACAAGAGCACGTCCTCTCTGTGTCATCTCTCTCTCTTCCAAGAGGTGTAGAGACTACAACAGAGGTCAGTGTGGGGTGCTTGGTTCCCAATCTCAAGCATCACTGTCACTTAGCAAGGGGGAGAGATACAGGGTGCACAGTGTAGGGGCACGAGCAGCAGCAACCCAATCTGACCGTTCTGCCATTGCACCAGGCCGAGCTCCCTACACCTTGCACTCCCCCCTCTCAGTAAGCAGCAGCAACAGCCAGTATCAGGAAGGCAGGGGCGCATGCAAAGTCACCCCCGTCAGTCACTGCCACATGTTACCAATTTTGCCCCGCCTTTGAACTCATTACTTAGGATGAAGCTTATTTTCCCAGCCTCGTAGCTGCAGAGAAATGCTTGGCATTGCTTGTGCCTGCATCTGCTCTGAGAGCAATTTGCTCAAAGGCAAACAAAAAGGAACAGTCTCTCTAGCGAATTTTATTCATTCAATCTTCCTATTCTCCCCCTCCCCCTTTTTTGAAAAAGTCATGAATCAGGATTTTTCAAAACACTTGGGTTGGCAGGGCTGGCAGGGAGGAAGTCTTGGTTATTTTGGCCAATTGGGGTGCAGTGTCAACTGGAATCTCAGCTGGACCTAGGAAATAGGAAGCTGTCTTCTACTGAGTCAGACCATTGGTAAACTTCTAGCACAGCACAGTCTACACTGACTGGAAGTGACACTCCAGGGTTTTAGGGCAAGAGTCTCCCCGCAGAGGCTGGGAGCAAAGTCTTATCTGCAGAAGCTGGGGATTGAACCTGAGACCTTTTGCATGCTCTACCACTAAGCTATGGCCCTTCCCGTAAGCATTACATGCAAATGATTTTAACAAAACCCAAACAGTATGTATTTTCTTCCTTTACAGAAAAGCTGCTTTGGGAGTTGGAAATTCGGAGCATAGAGGGTGCTCCTGTTTCTCTGCCATAAATGGTTCCTCCTAAAACCAGCTTTCCTCCAAACAATTTCTTATAAAGGTCTTTGGGGTGTTGTACATGTTTGCACTTAGGCCCTAAGGCAACAAATTTAATCAAGAGCCATTCTGACATCATTCAGATAGGGATCTTTGTACAGCTACAGTGGGAAGGAGGCCACCACACTTTAAAAGAACAAGGCAAATTACACCCAGCCAGAACTTTAGTTCATCAGGCTCAATATTATTTCCCCTGACACTCAACAGTTCTTCAAATTCCCAGGCAGCTACCTGAGACCCTTCAGCTAGAAATGGTAGGACTGAATTGGGAACCTTCCATATACAATGTGTTCACCTTACCAGTGAGGAAGCAATAGAGAAAGTGACATTCATACAGATGTTTTCAGATTTAATCCCTGGTTTTCTAGTTAAAAGAATTGCAGGTAGCAAGGAGAGAAAAGACCCTGGGGAGGTGTTGCCAGTCAGAATAAATACTGAGTATGGAGCTGGGTTTACACCTACTCATAAGTAAGTTCTGCTGACTTCATTCTGGTATGATCCTATTTAAGGACTTGCCCACACTTCTGCTTGTTCCGTGCCTGGCCCATACTTTTTAGGCATGGTCAAAGTGGATTTCCCCTTGTCCTGCTCCTTTTACAGGGAAAACCTACTCTTTAGTGCTAAATCGGAGCAAATGTCGATTCAGAGAAAACCTGAATTGCCATTTGCTCCAGCTGAGCAATAAAGAGCGGTTTTCCCCAGGGGAAAGCAGTGGGACAAGAGGAAGTATGGATAAGCCCTAAATGCACACAGGATTGCAGTCTAAGTCAGATTTTGAACACTTGAGTGGAATTGCACTTGACTTCTGTCATGCTTGCTTTGGATCTGCCTTCCTTGCCCATGCACAACAAACAAACTAGGGAGACAGCCTTGCAAGGCGGCCAAATCCTGCCTCTATTGACATGCTTACCTGCTTTTCCAATCTGAACTGCCAAACGGGTGAGTTTCCCCTGCAACACGGACTTCTCCTTCTTTGGGACCTTCACCTTCTTCTTCTCCTCCTTCTCCTCATTTTCCACCCCTTCTTGGCTTTTCAGTGGCTGGATCTCCAGGGCCACACCATCTTGAGTTTTTGCTGGATCCAGGGCGAAACAAACAGTGGCCGAATGAGTGGGAAGAACAGCTGAGAAACACTTTAGGTGCAACAGAAAGAGAAGGAAGGACGGCACAGAGAGGGAGAGAGAATCCCAGTGCACAGGAACCCCAACAACAGACACAGACACTTGGTAAACCTAGACATCCAGGGAGCCCTGTTCCACATCCCTCCGGAACAGATGACTGAAGCAGGTGGCAAAAAAATCCCCCCCTCCCAAAGGCCAATACATTTCAACATCTCAGATGACTACACCTGGAAGGAAGGACAGCCTTGCTAGGAAGGCACAGGAGGCACAACTCTGGGGATCTGTTTCCCAGATCGGCTTGCTGATTTGCTGCATGTCCCTGTGCAAGGCATCTCCTCCATGAGCATTTCTGTAAGATGGAGTTATTGGTACTTACCTCACTGAGGTAGCAAGGTGGAAGCGGTGCAAAACCTAACCTGTGAACAGCTATTATACTCAGACTCCCATGGCATGACTAAAGTCCTCTGCTCCTCAGCAGAGGCTGGTACTGGCTATTTTAGAGGCAAGTGCAAGCATCCAGGAGCGCAGATGGACAAAGTGCAAGGAACCTCTGTCCAGGCTCTGGGATGGTTTACAGCTGAAGAACTCAAAAGAGTTCAGCAAGTGATCCGAGCTGCTTGATAGTTAATATTTGCAGGAGGTTCTCCTTATAGAACAGCAGATAAGATTAGCTCTTATTTTAAATCATCACCTGAATAAATGATACAAAACTAGAATTGTTTTTAGCTGGAAAAATCTTTCCACTGATCAGATCCCTTGCATTGATCATTTTAAGGCCTCTGGGAGCTAGTCTTTTTCACTGTACATAACACAACAATTGTGGAGTTGTTGGGTGGGGAGGGAAAGAGGAAGGTTAATTATGAGGGGGCAAGGACTGAGTCAACTAATAGGAAGGGAATCTGTTAGTCTGTTTCCCACCTGTCACTTTTGTGGTCTAGACCACAATGTCTTTGGAACCTCTCCAAAATACAAGAGGCAGATCCTCAACTGGTGCATATCAGCACAACTGCAGCAATCTGTGTCACCTTCCAGAGGCAAGGATTCAATCCCTAAAATCCCTGAAATAAACAAACCAGTTCCCCCCACCTTTTTTTCTCTTCCCAAAGTGATGCGGGTTCAGATGAATGTGTGTACATGGCTGCTTTGTAACTGATCTGCACAGTTAGGACTGAAGGACATGATGGGGGAGTGGGGGCCAATCCCAAAATAACCCAAGAGTTCAGATCAGAAGGAGGGAAAACTCAAAACTGTTGAGAAAAAAGGAAGAGAAAGAGAAAGGAGAAGGTATAGGAAGAGGGAGAACAGACAGGTGCAGAAATGGGCTTCTTCACCATAGCCTGGAAAGAACAGGGGGTGAAACATATCAGAGAATAGACACTCACTTTGATTCAAAAGGCCATGAGAAGAACAGAGTGTAATGACCAGGTGTGCTGGACCCACCTCAGGCCCCTGATCAAAAAGTAACGATTTAGGGGTTTGGAGCAGAACGAGATAATAATTGGGGTGATCCTGGGCATTTATGCAGCTTAGCACAATTACACCAAGCTAAAATATTGTGGGATCCCACAGGATAAGAAGCTGCAATTTCATTTTCAGCACAACCTCACAAATTTAACTGTGGGGGGGAAAGTGCTTTCTTATGTTCCTTGACACTTTTTGCATTTTTGTTTACATCTTGCGTACAGCAGCCTATTCTTTCTTCATGAAGAAATGAACAATTTTTGAAACTTAGGGACTGGAGAAAAATATGTATGAATAAAACCCTGTCAGCCCTGAAATGCAATGCTCAGCTAGCAGGGGGTGCTGCAACGCCAGATATGGGAAGCTGCCCAGCCAGGACGGAAGTGGTGGGTGGTTAGCACTATGTTAATCATTACACCCTCTTCTAGAACAACAAGGCGAGATCCCGCCGTAGCAACAAAGAGCACAGACTCATGGGAAGAAGGAAGGAGGAATGCTCAGTAGTTAGTGTGGTGCTGGTTCAAAGGATGGAGAGGCTGGTTACCTTTGTTGCGATTTTCGGGGGCTCCGGGTTTTTTACCTGTTCAGACAAAGAGAGAAAGGGTGGAGCACTGAGCACACGGTTTGTGACATCGATGTCCCTGTTGGTGGACACCCGTATGCGGGGGCTCAGTGCTCTCTTGGGGAGGCTGTCGGACATGGGAGGAAAGCTATGCACGACACAGCTGCCACCTGGGCTGAGCACCATCGCAACAGGGCTGGAGAAGTCCAAAGTTCCTCACAGCTAAAAAGGCCACTGCAAACCCCCACCTTCCAGCTCTCGCCTTTGCTCTAATGGAAGCAGCAAGCAGCTGCAGAAACAAGCATTGCTTCAAATCAATGGAACTAGCCTTGGGACTAATGGATATCGGGGGAATGATGGTGGGGTTTGGTTCAGCTCCCTGCAACAACAAATGGGGAAGCTTATCCTTGGACTTCCATTCCATGTGGAATTTCTAATCTAGAGACTCCCAAACTCTGGTGCATCAGGCCCTCCCTGCCTCCCAAACCCAAATAAAACATCTTCAAAAGCATTAATATAAGGAACCTCTTCGGCTGCTCAGGTTACATTCCAGAGCAGCTGCCAAATGCTAAATAAAATTCTTTGCTACTCCACTTTCTTCAGGAAGGAGATCTTTGTATAATGGAAGAGCAGTACAGAGCTTGCCCAGAACTGTTCCTACTGAGGAATGAATCATATTGGGAGAGTTGCAGATTGACTCCAATCCTCTCTACAGGACAGTTCATAAACAGTGCTAACAGAAGCAGGCAATTAGAATTCATAATATGCCACAGCCATGTAAGTCCATGGCCCACAGTGTGATGTAAACCTGCAAAGATGAGAGAGAGCATCCCCTCCAGCAAAGCAGCTTTGCATCATTTTCTTATGGGTTTCAGTCTGCCCTCGGCAGACCTGAATAAAGTTTGGCATGGGGATTTTGCCAGATGCAGCCCTTTTAGTTGAGAGTAATTAATCCAGAATAACTACCATGCCCTGATTTCGTACCAACCAGTCAATTTATGAACTTAAAAGAATAGGAAAAATCCATCCTTTTACCACTTATTCACTGCCCCAGTTCGTAAGTATGGAACAGCGGCTCAAAAAAGGAAAAAGGAAAAAAAAGAGTGTGTTGGGGCAATAAATCTGCATTAAGTGACTAACAGCACACAACCCTACACACACATACTCATGCATAGGTTCCATGGAATTTGATGGGATTTGCACATACATAATTATGCAGCCAGACTGAGTAATGAGTAGAATGGTTATCCTTATGGTAATGTTTTGATTTTTAAATCTTCAGGATTCGTTATTTGTATTTTTTTTTCCCCAGAAGAGAGAGAGAACCCCACCTCCGCCAACATGACGACTACTTTCTTTATGCAACTAGGGCACATACTGAATAATATTGCTCAGTATTTTTGGGTGGGCTGGGCGGGGGAAGGAGGTCTGTTTTTACTATGGCCGATTAACTGGTCTGCTTGATTCAGCAGCTACAGTTTCTGCAGAGCTCTGTGGGTGTAGAAGCTCTACTAAGCCTTGGGGGTGCGGCTCAATACATTTTGCATCCTCCAGGTACTAAATGATGTTTTTTTTGTGAAGCTAGTAGCTACTACTGCAGGTATTTCAATTTCTTCCAGTTCCAAATTTCCAAAAGGTTAGGAAGAAGAGGCAACTCTTGTGTGTACGAATGCACACACACCTGACTCTCCAACCCAGCTTCATCAATATATTTTATTTTTAGTTCAAGACAACAAAACAAAATTCCCTGGAGAGACAGTGTTGACTCCCATCTGGCTACTGGGGGAACAACAGTCTCTTCTCTGCTTCACTCTGTCCCAGTCTGTTTAATGCTTCCGACACTGGCTGTCCATTAGTATTGTTTCAGTGGGGAGGATGCTGGCTTGCCGGGTAGGGTTAAAAGTACAGGTGCCACTTCTGCTAACTGCAGCGAGCAAGTCAGACCTGTGGGCAGGTTCTGTTCATGTAAATGACATGCCAACGTGTTTCGGTGGAAAGTGAGAAAGCATCAAAGCCTTATTTGGAAACCAAACCTACTGTGAAGAACTGGGTGTGAATTAGATTGGCTTATGTGCCAGCATAGTCAAATGCACGCTGACCTGCTCTGATTCAAATTAACTGCTTTGCTATAAACCAGCTCTGATCATGCTTAGCATTTCAAGTATTGGTGTAGAGCCAGCCCTTATCATGCTTAAGAGTATGAAATCAATGGTTAGTTAGGACTGTCTGAACCAAAGCTACTATGATTCAGTTTGAGTTTATTCTTCTGAAAAATTAGACTAAGAATGACATACCCCACAGTCATCTGGTCTAACCCCCTGCAATGCAGGAATCTTTTGCCCAACATGGGGCTCGAACCCCCAACTCTTGAGATTAAGAGTCTCATATTCTGCCAACTGAGCTATCCTTTGGTCTTTCTGGGGATGAACAAGTTAACAAACGTATTTGTAAAATGCTACAGAATGTATTCCTTATTACTAATTTCAGCGATAACATGCTCCAAGCAGTGTTCTTCCATCTCTGGTTCCCTACTAGATGCTGTTGGACTCTTAGCCAATGGTTAGGGACAATTAGCATTGTAGTCCAAAAATGTTTAGGGACCCAAGGTTGGAAAATACTGCTCTAGTGGACCATGGGCACCAGCCTGCACAGGTAGCTGGTAGAAAGAACAGAATTCTTCACAAGACACCTCTCCCAGTCAAGTTATCCATGAATGATGGCAGGACATATGCATCCTACTGTTCCCTCTATTCCAACTTCAGTAAGGCAGGGGCTTCATAATTTCAGATTACAACAAAAAACAGAGGAGAAATATGTACTTGGTGGCAACGTCTTAGGGACAAGGAGTTTGGAGAGGACTTTGATCATTCCAATGATGTGTCAACTTCTCTTTCAGGGTTTAGAGAACATGAGGAAAATTCTACTTGATCACACTAAGAGTTCTAAAAGAGAACTCAGACATATGTTTTTGGGAAGCTCAGAAGCAACAATCCTCAGTCCCATTGCTTAACTCCAGCACTGGGTATTCAGAGGTGTAATGCTATCATGACTAAATAGCCATTGGTAGATTATTGACTTGTCTTTATCCTAAGTAAATTCATTCTCTAAGTGCCTAACCTTATACAGCCAAAACGGCACCATCCACACACAACAGTGAGGTATCAGCAGACTTGGAGGTTTTTAGATGTTATCTGCCCAGTCCTGTGGCATGCTCTCCCAACAGAGATTCAGCAGGCATCTTCCAACTTTTAAGCACCTGCTGAAAATTTTTCTTTTCTGCCAGGCCTATCAAGGCGATTAAGAGTACTTCCACAACTGTTATAGATGCCTGTTTTTAACATGTTAATGTTTTTATTCTATGATATTATATTTCCTGTTTCTATTCTGTAAATTGCTTTGATATTTTTACGACAAAGTGGTATATAAATATTTCTTATAAATAGCCCAGTGCAAACTGCACATTCTCAATTCCCATGGAATACTGACTGTTGGCGTGGGGGGATGGAACTGGATGTTTGAGAGAATGTCATGACTGGCTGGTTGCTGCCCTATTTGTTCCACTCCACGCACCAACACTTTGTTGAAATTCCCACGTGTCCCTTTTAAGAAAGCTAACTCTGCCAGCTTAAGAAGATAGCTCAGTGGAGCAAATCCATGTATTGTTTCTAAAACTAGTTATGGATAGTAGACCCCAAGGAGTCCTGTCCCCACCAACCCCACCCCATCTTTTCAACTTTACTGAGCGGCAGCTGAATAGGAAACAAGAAGAAGTTGCTGGAAATTCACTAGCCTCTTTCATTGGCCTGTACTGGCTACATCTTGAGTTCACAGCATTGGACGCAGAACTCCCAACATCTCCTCCTCCTAAAACTCACAGGGTTTCAGTTCAGACACTCACACAAAGGGGAGCACGTGTTCCACTCCAGCTACCAAGTGTCAATACACCTAAGGAACTCTCAGATGATGCTTCCCACAAAAGCCTGGCTCCAGAATCTTCTTACCTTTCTTGACCTTCTTCTCCTCTTCCCCTTCTCCAGCACCCAGTAGAGTAAAAATGATTCCAGTTTGTGAGTTGATACCCACAGCCGAGACCATCATTCGACCAGAGCCCTCCATCACATGAGTCCCTGTTGAAAAGACAAGGCAAAATGTGGATAAAGGCAACCAGGAGGACTGGAGAAAGCACAATGAATTCTGCGAGAAAGTGCAGAGAAAAATAGAAGATGGAGCCTCATTTCTAGGCTCACTTGTGATTTCCAGAGCTTCATGTGTGTGCTGGCTTCACCATTCATTTCATGTGTGCACTGGCTTCTCCATTCATTTCAATGAAAGGGGCAGAAAAGCATACGCAAATAAGTGCATGCACAGAGTTGGCCTCTCTGCTAAGAAGGAATGGGGAAGCTCTTTCAGATGTGAACTCCATGAGCTAATGAGAGCCCAAATGCCCACAACAGATAGCTGGATAAGGGCAACTCAGTTCCTGAGCTACCCTTGCTTTTTCCTTCCATAGATTCCCATGCAGAAGAAAGGCATCAGGGATGTTATACAGAGAGAATGATTTTGTTGGGCTACGAATGGAGCGTCATACTCCAGCACACATCGCCATGTGCTTACTGAGAATGAAACAGGAGGAAGAAGCCTGTTATGCTGGCAGTTCAAAGTGTGCATGCTCCTCCAGCAGAGGATCAATCTTTAGGCCTGTCAACATAGCACCTCATTGCTCAGAGTGAAAGAGGATAATCCTGTCTATAATGTCCTAGAGCATCACAACATAACTTCTCTACCACAGAAAAGCTTATGGAATCTCCACTAAGGATGGCCAGCAGGGCATGGCTATAATTACAAGCAGATGCCCCCAGGATAAAAAGAACTCAAACACAACACCAAATGGGCTGCAGTTCAACTTATTGTCCCTAATGTATACCAGGATCTGAGTTGGCAATCATGACAGACTTACCAGAAAGCAGCATGGGGTCTTTATCCAGAGATTTCTTCACTTGGTCTGACTCCCCAGTCAGAGAGCTCTCATCAATTTTCAGATCATTGCCTTGGATCAGGATCCCGTCTGCTGGCAACAAATCACCTGGAAGAAGCAAAAATCAACATACTCTCAAGAGTTTTCAGCTATTCTCCACCAAACCTGAAGCGACTCCATTTTCACTAATTTCTGAGATCCATTTAGAATCTTGAAAGGGGAGAAACACCAAACATTTCTACAGAAAGACAGGTTATGGTTGGTGCAGTGGCGTAGCGTGTTGGTGCAGTGGCGTAGCATGTGTTGTCAGCGCCCGGGGCAAGGCAAGTAATTTGCGCCCCCTAACCCATGGATTTGCGCCCCCTAACCTGTGGATTTGCCCTAACCCCAGATGTTGCGCCCGGTGCAGCCGGCCCCCCCTGCACCCCCACGCTACGCCACTGGGTTGGTGTGATGCTTGCAGGAAAGAAAGTTCAGAACAGATATAGACAGTATGCGGGTTTTCAGGCAGGCTAATAACTGGGATGCATTAATATGAATCTGAAGGAATCTGATGTTTCCATCTTCAACCTTATTTTTTGGCTCAGAAATCTTATTTGCACAACTACTGAATACCCATGAGTGGCCTCAGTGCTGGGTTCTTCATACTACACAGCCGTTCCCCTCCTCACTTCTTTCTAGAAATGCCCATCTTCCAACTCTGTTGGTCAGAAATAGAAGGGAGAGTTAAGGAGAAAGAGGGCTTTTTTGGTGTATTGTTGGAAGATGGGCATTTCTCTGACCAACTCTACAATACACCAAAAATCCATTAGCCCTCTTTCTCCTTAACTTACTGTTAGATTCCCCATCCCTGCCGTTTGCCCATAATATCTTCCCACATCATTTTTCACCTCCTACACCATACCAACACAACACTGCCCCAGCTGCTCTCATAACTTTCAGGCCTATCACACCCACCTCTATCCTTGGGAATGAAGTTCTCTGATGGATAAGAGACATTTCCACTGCCAGTGCAGAACATTCACATAGCTCAGGGATAATAACGAATGACAAAAACACCGTGACATACGGAAAGGAGGAGCAGATTGTCTGGCCAGTTACCGTATTTCACTCACCATACTTGATCTGAGCAATATCCCCCACCACAATCTCAGCCACGGGGATTTGGATAACCTGCCCCTTCCGGATGACCGTGAACTTCTGTTCCTGTTCAATCCGACTCTGGAGGCCCCGGAACTGCTTCTCTTTGCTCCAGTCATTGAAGGCCGTGACCAGCACCACAATAAAGACCGAGAAGAGGATGGCTGCCCCTTCAATCCATCCAGCTTGAGCCTCACCTTCATCCTCTGCACCAGCTGCTGCTTGCCCACACACTGCCATGGGATGACAGAGAGAGAGAGAGAATGTTTTCAGTAACAAACTTACTTTTATAGCCACTCTCTGCCAGTTGTCCTTCACAAAAAAACCATAAAACAGAATTGTTGTTTGTGACACTAGCATAATACTTGCTACCTGCCCATATTATGATGAGCAGGTAGTGAGACGAAGGAAGTAATAATGTTCTCCAAACCATTAATACAAAATAAGGAAGGAACTAGTCTGGGGCTTTTTTTTGTAACGAGTGTCCTTGGTGAGTCCCTTTGAAAGCAGAGGAAGGCACACTGCACTAGAAGCTCAGAATGACAAACGGTCGAAAAGGAAGGAATTATTTTTATCCACATAATAAAGGTCACTACATAGCATATTAACACATTTTCAAAAGCATAAGTCTAAAACCCTCTACACACTGACCCAAAGTGAATCCTGCTGGAGACAGCAGGACTTACTTCTGAGGAAAAATGTGTTAAGACTGGGCCTGGAGCCTTGTAGCTGGACAGTGGCAAGGAAAGTCTGTGCACAGTTGATGGAAAACTCCTATTCATTGAAGGAGACATGTTCAGGGACAGCCCATTTACAAGGCATTAAATGTCTTGATGACACTGACCAAGGACCTTTAAGAAACATAAAATAACAAAAGTACCACTTGCTCTTTTCCCACTGTCATTCTGGCCCTATTTATTGCCCTTTACTCAGCTATTCCAAACTACCTTGGCTCACAGGTTCAACATTACTGTGTCTCTGAAAGCTCATACCCATACAAAACCATTAGGAAAAATGGTTTTCTCTCTTGGTTTGACTTGTTACCCCACAAAGCTGTCCCACCCCCAAATTCAGGGGAAACAAGGAAAAGTCCACAAACCAAAGCAAACTGTCAGAAGGTACCACAATGGTTCTCTCTGACCCCCCAAATCCCAAAGGCATCTCCCATACACACCTTAACTTCTTTCCTCTCCATCCTTCCCATCTTAGGGAAGCAGTAAACAACTGTACCTAGTATCCTAGATCATGAAGACTGTAATTTCCATGCAGCTGAAAATATGTGAAGGGTCTCAGATGAAAACCTTTGGTGGAATTCAGTGTCATGTTGATACAATTGTGCCATCAGCACAAGCATTTCTGCTTGGCCAGTGCGGTGATCTCCCCATCCCACACCCACCCACACTGTTCTAGGGGTTCTCCTGACCCCCTTACAGCAGATTTGGGAGAGGTGTGGGCTGTCTGGGAGGGACACCCTCTTGTGCTACCAGGAATCTCTGTGCTGGCTTCCACTAGCCCACCATATTGCTTAAATCCAGCCCTATGTGTTTGCAATCACTTCAGATGTGAAGGCTCTATCATTAATGGTTACCTGTTTGTAGGAGCGGATCACTTGATGTTGCTATCACCAAGTAATGAATATGCAAGCATGAGCTAGCCCCTGGGAACTTAAAGTTGGAAGGCACTACTGAGCTATCAGGTTTAGCATCTGCCTGCAAGGCAGAACCAGAAGTGGTTGTGGTTCTTTGAAGCTTCCTAACATACTTGCTAGCAATCCACCCTGCTTCTTATGGGATGCAGGATGAGAGCCATTCTTGTTTAGACAAGGTTTTTTAATATCCCTTAGGACTCAGGTTTTAGCTGGTTTATCTAATGCTTTTATGTTTATTACTGTTTTATGTGTATTCTACCATGTTGGAAGCTACCCTAATTTTAAGATGGGTGAGATACAAATAAAAATAAAATCAAGTTACCCATATGTCAGAAGCAGTGCCAAAAGATGACAGCAGGTGCCTGCAAAGTGGATGGCTCTAGATAATTCAGGCAAGTACCCAGATGTTATAGGGTGGGGCAGAAACCTCCCCAGGGCCACCAGCTAATCCAGTTTGGGAAAGATTTCCCCCAAGCCCAAATATGGCTCACAGCAATTACACTGTGTATACGTCTGCAACTACACTGGAAAAATCTGGGAATATTTTATTTATTTAGTTGTTGTTTTACTCCTTTCCACTTAAAGTAGCACTCATAGCAGCTTACACTTAAAATTGCAATATAAAACCCTTCAAACTATATAAAAACAATAGCCCAACCCAGCTCAGCCCAAATGCAACAGCTGTAACACCAGACGATAACAAAAATGGGTGAAGAGGACAGTGTTTGCTGACATATAAAAGAAATTGATGATGGTGACAGGTGAATTTGTCTGGGAAGGGAATTGCACCTCTGGAGCGTCACTACCCAAAACTACTTTCAGGTGGCACTGTTTACAATGGCTTTCGCTAATTAAACAGAATTAATTTTGAGTGTGTTTATTGTGCACAGGAGCCACCTAAAAATAATGCCATCTGAGAAAAGAGCCTGGCTATAATCATGGTTGTGTGAAATTTGACTCCCTGCAGGTTCAACATGCAAGAACAGAACGTGGAATGTAGCACAGAAGTTGGAATCTTGGGAACTTTCAAGGGGAGGATTAAGGAAGAATACTATGAAATGTATGAAGCCTCTACTCCTGCAATCTGGCATCATCACAAAATGGCCCACAGCAGTATTTCATGTAGATACGTACGTACGCGCACACACACACACACACACACAAACACAGCTTCTGATCTCACTGTTTTCTTTAGTGCTGACATTATCAAAACCAGCACTGCATTTTAAAAATCACAGGACTTAGACCGGGCTGCTAAGAACAGCCTGCTTTAGCTAGCAAATTTTTAGGGGAAATATTTAAATTTTATTTATTTATAAAAAAATTTATATAGACCACACTGTATTGTAAAAATAGTAGGCCCTTAGCCAGGGTCTTGTTAGTCTGTTAGAAACACATACATCAAAATGGCCTTGATCTCAGTTTTCAGGAAACAAAACAGATGAGAGCAAGTCAAAATACCTGTCACTGTTCTGTAACCTTTCTGCAGGCCACCTGAATAGAGCTTGTAGGCCACCATCTGAAAACCTTTGTTCATCAGAGCTCTGTTGATGTGCAGCCCTTTCGCTTCTCCATTGTTATGTAAGGAGGAAAATTGGACTAATCTTTACTGGAAACCATGCAGCATGCAGAAGAGGAGAGAATTATCACTATATTCCCCAAACTGCAGAGATAATATCTTTCTAGACAACAAAAAGACGTCCTCTGATCAACTTGCTTTCATCCATGAGCCTGATGGATGTTGCTAAAGGCTTAGCGTAAAGCTTTTTGAAATGTCCATGGAGGTTCGTCCACACAGCAGGCTGTAGCTGACGCAATTATAAACACATTAGCTGGTAAAGGTAAGCTCTATAAAAAGAGCAGCTTGCTGAGCAGCAAGGGCCACACTGCAAATTCGCGGTGAGCTGTGGGCTACATCTAGTTTTCAGATTTTATTTGTGTGGAATGTGAATGGTGGTCATAATCTTGCAGCAGAAGAACCACTTAAAATTGTGGGGTTCTTGGTCCCATCCCACTTAGTGGGCATATTACATGATAATTTCCACAGGAGTGTAGATGTCTGTTGCATGTTAAAGATGAACAAATTTCACTGTGGCATAAGCGCTCATGAATGGCTCAAGTAATGTCAATGGTGGAGTTAAATGGAACAGAATGCAACAGCAGAGCCTGTGACAATTCTGTTAGAGCTTACATGCAGGCCACTTACATGTCACTTCACATCAGTAGTAATTGACCAACCATATTAGTGCAGTTGAGGAAAACAGCAATTCAACTACAGCTTATCAGTGTGGTTCCATACACACCTATTTAGGAGATATCTCCATTGCATTCAGAGAAACCTACTTCCAGGTGAGTCTAAATGGATGCTAACTAAGCCCAGTGGCCCTTCACAGCAGTAGTGATGAGCAACCTTCTTCCTTGTGAACCTGCCCATATACTGAAGCCATCATCAGGGACCAGGGGCAAGGTGCTTCTACTCTCTGAAATTAGGTGGATGTCTTGGTGGAAATTAGGTGGAAGCCTTCTTGGCTGAAGCACCTAGCTCTCCTACCCCAGGGAGACTCACTTGGCAACCGATCCTATGTCTTCATGGTGCCAGGTAAAGATAGATTCAATCGAATTGTGATCTAAATTGGCTTTATTCTGCCTCCATGATACTCTTGTGTGTTTTAATCATGCCTCTGCTATCTTAATATGTTTGGTATGTTGTCTTGATATGGTTTTAATTACTCTTATAGATTGTTTGCTGCCCTGAGAGTATATTGCTGAAGGGCACAGCAGACATATTAAAGAAAGTAAAAAATATGTAAATCTTCAGAGAGAGAAAAATCCTGTGCTAAATTTTGTATCCAGAGGAGCAGAATGCTACAACCTCTTCATATGGGTGCATATATGTAAGTTCAACAAATATGCACATAGTTGCTTCTTTGTGTTATTTAATCTTCTTGTGCTGGTCATTAGCAGCAAAGAAATCTGCAATTCACTGAAGCCCTGCCACTTGCTCATTCAAATCCTACTCATCTGAAGTTTCATTAGGCACTGCCCATATACCGTATTTTTTGCTCTATAACACGCACCTGACCATAACACGCACATCGTTTTTAGAGGAGGAAAACAAGGAAAAAAATTCTGAATGAAACAGTGGATGTATCATTTTTGTGCTTCATGCTGTGGCCACAGACATGTGATCTGATGGTGAATTTGGGGTAGCTCAATGCAAAGATCCTGAGGATCCATGTGGATCCATGCTTTTTAACCACATTTTTGCACCATTGCAGCCCCAGGCAACAGTGGGTGTGTGATTTGGGGGGGGGGCAGGCTGCTATGTGATCTGATGGTGAATTTGGGGTGGCCCAATGCAAAGATCCTGAGGATCCATGTGGATCCATGCTTTTTAACCACGTTTTTGCACCATTGCAGCCCCAGGCAACAGTGGGTGTGTGATTTTTGGGGAGCAGGCTGCTATGTGATCTGATGGTGAATTTGGGGTGGCCCAATGCAAAGATCCTGAGGATCCATGTGGATCCATGCTTTTTAACCACATTTTTGCACCATTGCAGCCCCAGGCAACAGTGGGTGTGTGAT